GCGGCGGGGCCGGGTTGGGTCGGCGCAGGGCCTACCCTGCCCGCCGCCGCCTCACACGCTCGGCTGGAATGGCAGTCTTAATGGTATGTTGAGGTCTACTTGACCCAAAGAATAATTTACTGGGATGCAGGGAGAAGATTTCTGGAAGGTTCAGGGCAATGAGTCTGCCCTGGACATGTTCCCTGAAACCACTTTGCTCTCCTAAGCCTCTGGGCTTGTGATGAGAAGTGAAGTCTTGAAGTTTTCTAAAATGCCCTTAGGCCTTTTCCTCCTCCATCATCTTGACAGTTATCACCTGCATCCCTTCTAGCCCTGATATCTATTCAGTAACTGGTTGATGAGGCTACTCATTTTACTTTATGTACTGGAAATGTTTGTTAATTCTTTACCATGTGGTCAGGTTTCACTTTTTCCAAAATGTTCTTCTCTGCTTCCCTTTTTTATAATAAGTTTTATCATTAAGTCATCGTTTTACCCATTCATTTTACAATATGCTGCTAATAACACATATGGAGATCCTTCTGTGCCTTGCTTTAAAATTTTACTTGCAGATCTTCATCATTCTCAATTTTGGCATTCCACAAAACCTTACAAAATGGACTTAATGTAATCCAACACTCTGTAATGGCATAGCAAAGATGACCTTTTCTCCAATTTCTACTACCTGTTTTTCACTTTCCTCTGAAAGCTTTTTAGAATGGCCTTTACTGTCCATATTTCTATCAATATGCTAGTCAACACCATTTAATAAATCTCTAAAAAGTTCCAATTCACTCTTAAACCATTCTTTTTCTGAGACTCTACCAGATTCTAGGCTTTTTCTAGTTACTCCTCTAAACTAAAAGATATTCCTTTACTTAATTTCTCTCTTCTCAAAGATATGAAGGTAAACTAGGTAATTCTGAATTTCTGACCTATGTTATTTTCTTTTCTTTATGTAAGTCTGAATTTCTGATGTACCAATATATTATTTCCCTTCTCTATGAATAATTTCTTTAACATTTCTTGCAAGTCAGGTCTGGTGACAACAAATCACATCAATTTTAATTTTTCTGTACCAGTCTTTTCTCTTGCTAGATGTTATTTGTTATAATAATAGACAATGAATACCATTGTTAATACCAATGAATTTACAATAGTAACAGGACCAGCTGGTGGTGTGGTCATTAAGCTCACTGGATCTCACATGACTTACTGTGCATCTGGAATCCTGACCCTGACACCTTGAAACACACAGTGGCCGTGTGTACATGTGTGCTCAAAATCCTGAAAAGAGGGATAAACAGAGAAAAGGAGATTGCATCCATGGGGTGCACTTTCTCATTTACCCTCTCTCTCTGTGTCTCTCTTTGAAAAGCTCACACACCCTCTGACTAATTAAAATAAACAAGTAAAAATGGAAAGGTAGGCTTACAATTTAAACCTAATATATAATCATAGCTAACTTAAATATGTAAAATATAAACTGAAGCAAAGTGTTGCTTTTGGAAAATAAAATGCAGAAAGACTTTCACTGTTGACTTGATACACTTCTGTGTCCATTTGGATTTAAAAAAAAATT